GTGTTGCTCCAAAGGGCAGGAGTAGAATCATTGGGTGGAGATTGAGAGAAAGAGTTTCAGCTTAGTATTTGGAGAAACTTCCTAATGGTTAGATTTGTTTGAGAGTCCTTTGTTGGAAGAATGTAAGCAGAGGCTGAATGGCTATCTGTCACAGATGTTGCATCCTGAATTGAAGGTGCTATTTTGTGGGAAAAGTACAAGAGACAACAGTGTTCTGCTAGCACAATGCTCAAGCAACCCGTAGCCTAACAAAGCTGGGGTGCCTTGAAGAAATGCTTGTGGAGTGGCTTGTGTAACCATTTCTCCTGGCCAAATTATTGGCTGTTGACACTTAGACAAAGAAGAAAACAGGGTTTCCACAGCTGGTGGAACCTTGGTGCTAGCAGTAGGATCTTATTCAATACAGCTCTTGAGAAGAATAGCGTAGATGACCCACAAGACCCCTTAGAACTCTGTGATTCCTAGATGATGAATTTGTTCTATCATTTCTGCTGGAGAGATGCATAGGCTGCAATCCTATGTGGAGCTCTATGGGCCTCCACATGAGTAATCTTGGGACATGCATGCCATGAGAAGTCCTCACTGAGTGACCTTGCAGAGCATTTTCTTGGAGGAGAAACACCATGGATACCATCATGGATAAAAATCACAAATGTCTCTGTTTCATCAGGTGAGCACTTGTTAGGAAGCTGTGAATAGCTCGGCAACTGCCTCCCCACCGCAAACACACACACACACACACACACACACACACACACACACACACAACCTCTTGCATGATAAGTGCAGATGATGGTATGCATCATTGGTCTTCAACTGGCAGAACATCAGAAACTCCAAGTCAGTTGAAGCCTGAACACAAGCTGGTAACCAGAGTGGTGCTACAACTATCTTTTGGAGGGAGAGAGTGCATCAGTGCCAACACTGTAAGGCTGGGTATGATCCCAATGAAAGGAGGGGGAATTCAGATCTTGCCAGCTGCCTCCTCCAGAGAAAGAAACCCACACAGGGGGGAAAAAATCAGAAGAGCCCATTCAGCACACTGCTATGCTTTCTTGCACAGCTGCACTTGCTTGAGAGTAAGTGCCACTGAATACGGACAGAAATGCGCTATGCACCATGAAGTTGGATCAGACATTGTGTCCTATGTTTTAATGCAGGCTCCGGGGCAGACTATGTTTCCCTCATCGCATAATAGCTGCAGTCCTTGTGTATGGCAGTTCCTCACTGGCTGGAGGCTCTGTAGCGTGTTTATTGGTTTTAAACCAAACATTTTCTTGTTGTTTTCTTTTTCCTGTGTTTTTCTTCCTCTTGTAACCTCAGCACTTTCAAACTGCCTCAAGACATCTTTCAGTGTGGTCTCTGGAATGCTGTTGGTTTTACCAAAGTTTTTGTTATTGTTTGACTGATTTTCAAATAGCTTCAGTGACTGAATCCTCCATGTTTCTCCCTGGCTGCAGGAAATAAAATATTGGCCAGTTTGATGGTTCTCAGATGTGAGAAGCACTTTTCCTCTTTAAACAATGTAGAGTTTTAGAGCTTCTTTGTCTGAGAGTCTCTTGCCCTTCAATTCCCATTGCTTTAATAGGGGATGGTGGGAATTGTTTTGGGAGGGGGCGGGGGGCACCTTCACTGCAAGATTTTTTCTGAATGGATTCATGAGAAGGGTGTTGCATTTAGAATACTGTGTTCTGTTCTGATTAGCCCATCTCAGAAGAAGTCCCATAGAGCTAAGAAAAAGACGCTGTCTCAAATGGTGCTTTCCTATGGTGGTGCACTTTAAATAAGGTCTGGGTGGCCATTGACCAGGGATGCTGCAGGGTGGATTTTCTGGGTTGGGTCAGTTCAGACATGGCCATAAATCCAGGGCTTATGAGAATCCTGAGATCCTATGGACCTGCCTGGTACAAATGACATGTACTTAGAATTAAACTAACCATAGCCTGGCAATCCATTCTGAGTTCCATAATATGAATGGAACTTGCAGCCCTTCTGAACAATTTTTTATGTGCAGTCATCAAAAGCTGAGGGTCATTTAGGGTCATTTTGATACTGCTCTTGTTAAATGATTGGGAGGCATAAACCTTGCTAGTTTGCTGCAAATCACGCAGAGGCCTACCTCCTGTTCCCACCCCCTAAGAGGACAACTCTGATTCTCTGTTTCTCATTAATTCTTCCATCCGAAACCAATTTTCCCCACTGTGAGTCCTACCAATGTTGTTGGACCTTCATCTAAGCACAATTAGGGTTTCAACTTTATCTTAATGTTCGGTTTATTACTCTTTCTCTGAAAGTGCCTTTCCTTGAAGTAGCCCACAGGCAACCAGTAAATGCATGTGCGGAGAAAACAAATACTTTGGAGAGAGTATTTGTTGGGTCTCTGATGCTACCTATACTCAGAATAGGATCAGAAGCAGAAGAAGAAACTATGAGTGATTTAGGAAGAGTGGAAATAGAGCGGACACCTCTCTCCCATACTATTATCTCATGGAGCGACTGGTGCAAGATGATTGGCAAACAGGTTCAATTGTGTCAGAAGGGAAACATTTCTTCATACAACATGTGCTTAATCAGCATTTCCTTCTGCTGGAGAACCCTGGAGTTTGGTGAGGTGTCTACAGAAGCTCTTTGTCAAGGGCTTCCTTCCGAGGCTCCAAAAGTGGGAATAAGAAAGACATTTTGGGATAATGCCTCCTCACCTGGAATGCTCTCCCAGTGAGAACATGGCACTCACATGACTATCTTTCTCATGTCTTGCTCAGAATTTGCTGTTCTTCCCAGCTTTTTAATTTTTAAAAGACTTTTAGGGTGTAATCCTATGCCTGTTGAGAGAGGAAAAATGTTTACGTCCTCCAGAGTTTCCCATAGCTGGCTGGGGTATGGAAGGAGATACAGGAATCTCAGGCCAGCATGGGATCACACACTATCTTTTTAAAGATTGTAATATTGTGTACTTAACTGATTTAGTCTAAATTTATATACTTTATGGTCCTTGTTCTTGTAATGTGGCACTGGATTTTGTGCTTTGCTGCTTTTTGCTTTTATTCACATTTTATCATTTTTGAAAAAGGTCTGGAGAAATTAATTTTATGCGAGTCTAAATGAAGATGCCTGCAAGCCCTGCAAGTCAGGAGATAGCGGGCACTCTGTGCAGGGCAGGCATGCAGAGGGGGCCTTCATCTTCCTGCTCCTTCCCCAGTGCAAGTCAACTAGACAGCTTATCTAGATTTTGGCTGTCTAGTTCTGACCAAGAGGGAAGGAAGATGGAGTGCTGATAGAGTGCGTTATATCCTGGTGTTTCCTGGTGACCCCAGTCTTCTTTCCTACCTGCCCCCTGGAAAGTTCCCTTCCCCTCTGCTCTGATGTCAGTCTTAGGACCTCAGAGAAGCAGCCATGTGGTTCTTCCTGTGCTGCCCGTGAGAGGGGGGAGAGGGTGGTCACAGCACTGGTTCCAAGCTCAAAGGTTGGAGCTCTTTCCTGAGCCTGGATCTGGAACTCTGACCCATCTTATGACCTCCCAGACTGCATTTCAGGGGCCATAGGAGTGCTCTGTTGATACATGCATTTAATGCATACAATATATTGCTCTCCTGTGCTGTCAAGGTGTTTCTGACTTATGGTGACCCTATGAATGAAAGCCTTCTGTCCTTGCAGCCCTGCTCAGGTCCTGTCAATCCAAGGCTGCAGCTTCCTTTATCGAATTGATCCAGCCTGCATTTGTTCTTTGTTTTCTTCTTCTGACTTCCTTCCCCTTTCAACTTAGCTACAGCTTCAAACAAACCACTCAGCTGTATTGTTTTTTTAATTAGGGGAATGACCTCTCTTATGGGGTTGTGCATGATAGGTCAGTGCATAGGAGACAAAATCCAAATGCTTTGAGTCTTCAGGAATGGAGGCTGGACTGCATCTCCTTTATCCCTCTGCACTGGCCATGCTGGCTGGGGCTGATGAGAGTTATAGACTAGCAACATCTGGAAGTTCCTATGTTTCCCTGCTTTTGGAGAAGTACTCTATATATCTTGCTATTGGAGAATCTGTTCAATTCAGATGCATTTGATAAGTTGGTTTCACTGTCAATTATGTTGCTAGTCTAAGGTAGGGCACCACCTGCAGCAAAGGACAAGATGGCACTCCCTTTGCAGAAATGGCTGGACAGGCAGTTGAATCTCACTTTACCCCTGTGCAGGGATGTGTGAGGAAATGTATTAGGATCTGCCAGATTCCCTGGCCTTGGCTCCTCTGACTCTGGTCTGCTCTGTTGCTCCCAGCATCCACACAGCACTTCCCAGGAATCCAGCCCCGCACAAACACAGCACAAGCAGCACCCCTCGTCCATGTCATGTGCTGCAGTCTTTGCTTGTCGCTGCACATGATGCAGAAGAAACTTGTTGGTGGTGCAGCCATCATTCTGCGGGTGTCCATGGACTTCCTCTTGGCTCAGCTCACTTTCTAAGCTGAGCATGGTAGGAAGTCTGTGAATGCTGGAGGGAGGGAATCCATGGGGTCTCACTGCCACACCATTACTGGCAGTGAAAGGGTGCCCACCAGCACTCCTGTAGCTAAAGGCTAGTTTAGGAAATAGAACGTTTCTTTAGACTGAGCTAGGCCATTGGTCCATCTGGCTTTGTATGTTCGGCACTCTCCAGCGTTTCAAGCTGCGCTTTCCCCAACCCCCTCTACTACTAATCCATGGTCCACCCCTGGGTTGGAGCACCCAGGTCAGTTTCTGTGGTATACACTGCTCTGTCTTCCAAAAGAGGGAAACAGCCAGGAGGTTGCCTGGGGCAGTTTCCCCACTCAGTCTAATGACAGAGCCGGCCCTGGTTGCTAATAAATCACGTGGGTGCTACTGTATCATGTCCTGGGCTTTCATTGTAGATGCGCATTTCAAGCTTATGCTTTTCTGGGGCGGGGTTGAATTTGGGATTTGTAATTTCCTGGGGAATTCTATGCTACCTGCTGACATTTTTTTTAAAAAATCAAAACCAATTTTTCCCCAGCTCTGTGTGGCGTTGTGGCTACCATCTGGTTCCCAGTGAGTGCTCACCGTGAAACGATGATCATGAGCTTCGGATATTCCCTGTACACAGGCTGGATCGGATCTTTCCTTTGCCTCTTTGGCGGGTGCATCATCGTTTGCTGCTCAGGCGATGCTCAAACATTTGGTGAGAACCGTTTCTACTACGCCTCAGGATCTAGCTCTCCCACCCACGCTAAGAGCGCTCATGTATAAATAGTCCAGCTCATCAAAGGTTTTGAAACGGGTGGATTGGTTTCCCTTGTGCTTCTGAGTCTTGCATTTGCTGGCATCTTTGCACACAAGTTGACCACATCCCTTGCAGAAGATAAAAAGAAACAGCTTCATATTTTGATAGCATAAACACCACAGGTTTGCCTTAATAGAAACCTGTAGAGAAAACTAGATCAAGTTAAACTCTATACTTGTCCTACAGTCTAGGCTTTTGTACCACTGAAACTGTAATCCTTTTTTTTTCCTTTTCTTTTCATTATTCCCTTCCCTTCCCTTCCCTTCCCTTCCCTTCCCTTCCCTTCCCTTAGGAAGAGTTTAATACATACATAGTCGAATTTTTGAAAATGATCAGTCCTTTCTGAGAACAAGTTACCATTTACTTCCACTGCTGCCTCAAGGTCATCTTTGTTGGCAGAACTGTGAGGATAGGGAGAAGAAGACGCTGTACTTTTCCATCTGCACAAATGTTTCTTTTTCATAAGATCAGGAGGTATCTCCTTGTTTTCTCTGTTTTTTTAAAAAACAAAGCCGTAAGGAATTTGATCACTTCTGTAACACTGTTTTTGTCTAAATGCATCAGTATGAAGGAGACAAAGCCAACATTTTCTAATTACAAGATAAATAACAGAACCTTGTACATAGCCTTAAATCTATGTGACGGGGCCGATCCCCACAACCTCCCCTCCCCTGTTTTGTACAGGTTTGTTGCTAAATAAATGTACTTTATTTTGTTTTATATTTTACTTGGTTCCAATTAATTTGTATTCTGACATGCACTATTGAAGTGAAACTTATCTTTAAAAATTTACTATAATCAGATGCAAATTGGGTAAAATCCAGTGAATACTGATGATGCTTTTCATCTTTAAGTGAAATACTGTACAATATACAGAAATAAATGTTGAAATTACTAGCTTCTTTTCTTCTCATTTTGTCTATGGATATCTTCTCTTTTGGTTTTCATTCAGTCATTGTAGTGATTCTGCATGATGTGGGTTGTTTTTTGTCACATGTGGAGAATCTATTCTGCACTGCAGCTAAAAACGAAATGGTGTCACTGGAGCTTGCTCCTTCCTTCCTTCCTTCCTTCCTTCCTTCCTTCCTTCCTTCCTTCCTTCCTGATTGTGCCTTGCATACACACACTGGGCAGTTAGATAGACCAATGGACTGGTTCCTTATAAGGGAGAATATACAGTGATCTGCCACTGGGCAAGGAATATGTTTAGTAATAGTTATTGTTCTTCAAGTGTATTGTAATTTGGAAGTTTGAGAGAGAGTTAGAGAGAGTTTGCCTATGTGCAGCAGTGGCTGGGGAACTGGGGCAGGAGGGTGCTTGTGGGATCGTGTGGGCAGCATATCCGACTGCATGGACCCTTGGCCTGACCCAGCACGGTTCTGATGTTCTTATGCAGGACAACCTCACATTCTTGTGAGCCTTCTCACAATAACCTTGGAGAGGTTGCTCCAATGTCTATTTTACTCATGGGGAGAGCTGAGAATGATTTGCAGGGCCAAGGCCATCCAACAAACACATAGCTAGTCTCCCCCACCCTAGATGACCTAACGAAAGCACTCTGGTACTCAACAATGGTACTTCATGTCTAACCTAACCTTTGATCCGTGGAGCCTGAGGCAGCATTCGTGGGGTCCCTGGGTGATCTCCCACCCAGACTCACACCTGCTTAGCTTCAACATGGAAGCTACATCTTGAATCTCCAGCTTTCACCTTGTCACAAACATGTCACAAAATTAGCTCTCTGGCCCATTAAAATGTATACCGCAGTCAGTGGTTTGCAACAAATAACTAACAGGACTTCTCTGGAATTTGTCACTAGAAAACAAAGTGAAGCAGAAATCCTATGCAGTTAGTATTCCACAGGTATTGCACAGGTTGTTCAATACCTGTGGCTACTGAAAGTCTGAAGAGAATTCAGGAGCATAAGGATGAAGCCCACTTCTTGGGCAACTATAGGCTGCTTTCTCTGTGCATGGATCTCCACCAGAAGGACAGGAAAGGAACTCTGGTTAATCTGGCTTTCTGCCCTGCAGAGGAACCTCTATCCAGGTTAAAGGTAAAGGTTAAAGGTAAAGGTAAAGGTTTCCCCTTGACGTGAAGTCCAGTCATGCCTGACTCTAGGGGGCAGTGCTCATCTCCATTTCCTGGCTGAGGGAGCCAGCATTTGTCCGCAGACAGTCTCCATGGTCAAGTGGCTGGCATGGCTAAACACCGAAGTGCACGGAACGCTGTTACCTGCCCACCGAAGTGGTACCTTTTTATCTACTTGCATTTGCATGCTTTCGAAATGCAAGGTTGGCAGGAGCTGGGACGGAGCAATGGGAACTCACCCCATTGTGCAGATTTGAACCGGCGAACTTTCGATCAACCAGCCCAGCAGCACAGCGGTTTAAACCACTGCACCACCTGCAGTCCTCATGCACACAGTAGTTTAGTTCATTCAGATGGATTTCATTAGCCAACAACTGGGACTACTGCATGTAGTCTTGCCCCTTGGTTCAAACTAGGGGTGGAGGATTGTGTTAATTTCAATTTTCCTCTGTTTCTGATTTCTCCAGTCTCAAGTTTGGTTTGTTCCAAATCTCAATAATTTTCAAATATTTGCATGAAAATTCATAATAATTGTTGTGCATATCCTCCTAATAAATGTTTGATATTCATTTTTACTCAATCTGCACATTTTTGCAAGCAATTTTCCTAACAGAATACATTTTTGAATGCCATTTTCTCTAATGCACACATCTTTGTACATGTCTTTGATGAGAGAACTTCATATGGAAAAATGTGAATGTTGAAGGAAAACTGTTTTGGTTGGCAAAAGCTTGAAAGTAGGTATATTCACATTAACACAAATGAAACAAATTTCTCCCCAGTCCCTAATTCAAATGGAATGCCTGAAGGGGATTCTGGGATGAAATGACCCAAAACAGTAGGAGCACAAAATCCCACTGATTTTAATATGCTTCAGTGCATCCAGTCCAGAGCATCCAGATATCTGGGTGCAGAGTTAAAGATTTCCTACATTGGCATTGAATATATTGTTACTGAATTGTTGTTGGGTCAACCAGATTTTGAACAAAATGTGTGTTTTCTCACTGACTGTAATTTTTTGTGTTAATTTCATATTGTTTTTCATTCTCCCTCTCTCACTGACACAATGTTCACAATGAAAACTGTAATTCCACAGATCCTTGGCAGAACATTTGTGCTCATTACATCATAGGCTCTGGGTATAGTTACTTGTTGTATACCCCGAAGAAAAACAATAAGCCCTGCCATTGTGAGAAGTGGGCGCCATCAAGGAATGTGTAACACACAGATGTGCAGCTTTGGGAAGACTGGCCCAGGATTGTGGACTGTGTTGTTTTTATGCAGGCTGCCTCCTGCTGAAAGGGCCCCATTCAGATAACTGGAATGGAGTCGATCAGCTTGTCTTAAGAGCAAACATTGCTGGGACGCACATTCTGCACATAGGTTTGGGGAAAGGATGGTCACTCTGCCTCTGGTGGTCATTTCAGAGGGCAAGTGAAATGAAAGTTTAGAATACTGGAATTCATGAACCAGACTGATGAGACAAGGAGCAAATTCAGTTGCCCTAGAACAAGCAGAGGTGGGGCCTGAGTTCCAAAGTACAAAACCACACAGTTTTCCTCTTCTTCATCCTTTGCACAGAAGCTGGACTGATGAGGCACAGAGACAAGTAACCTGGCCAAGAAACTTACTGCAAGACAGAGGTGGGGTCTGAGCTTTTCCAGATCACATATTTTCCCTCCAAAGCACAACAAAATACCCTTTTTACACAGCCAAACTAAATGTTCTTCCATGGAGCTATGCACATGCTTGTGTCCTTTACTCTCCTGCAAGCAAGCATGGCCCATTTGGGATCAACACCGTGGTGCTTTGAGGGAGAAAGGTTTAAGATTCAGCTCTCACCCATTTTGCTTCCCCTGCAAAACCCCTCTATCCCCAAAATTCAATTTGTTGTTGTTAGTTGCGAAGTCGCGTCCGACCCACTGCGACCCCATGGACAACATTCCTCCTGGCCTTCCTGTCCTCCATCATCCCCTGGAGTCCACTTATGCTCACACCAACTGGTTCAGTGACTCCATCTTGCCACCTCATTCTCTGCCGTCTTCTTCTTCTTTTGCCATCAATTGTTCCCAGCATTAGGCTCTTCTCCAGGGCTTCCTTCTCATTAGGTGGCCAAAGTATTTGAGTTTCATCTTCAGTATCTGGCCTTCTAAAGGGCAGTCAGGGTTGATCTCCTCTAGGACTGACTGGTTTGATCTCCTTGCAGTCCAAGGGACTCGCAGGAGTCTTCTCCAGCACCACAATTCGAAGGCCTCAGTTCTTAGGCACTCAGCCTTCTAATTCCTGTTAGGTTTCTTACATCCAACATGTATTTCTTCATGGGCTTTCAGTTGCCCAAATTTCTTGGCTGGGTTCAGTTCTGGAATTAATGGACAGTTTTCTCTTTTTTTAACCTCTTCCTTTAGAGGTGGCAGGGTTGTGCTGGGAAAATTCAGGTAGATCCTGTTGCTTGTGTGCCTCTGTGTTATAAAATGCCTGCACCGCTTTCTCAGGAACCACCAAAATTCCAGGCCAGGTTGCTGCTTAGCATTTGCTGTTATTTAATAACTGGGACCTGATGTCTTCCCCAAGAAGCTGCCATGACTATTGTTTTTGCTGATCGGTAAGAAGTGATAATGCTTAAGGTTAACAGGGTTAACAACCCTCATCTGCATGTCAAGACCCACAGTAATCCCTGTGTCTCAGTGATGGTTATGTTAATCTCCTGAAATTAAATGCCATTGTATTGAGCCCTCTCAGCAGACCTCTCACCTTCTTCTGACTGTGATTACCTTATTTCCTCATCAGTGGGCCCATGAGACTCAGAATCTATAAAACACTCTGTGTATGTTCTAAAAGCTTGTAATTGGTGGTGAAAATCACTGCCCAGTAGCAT